ACGCGAGTAGTGTTGCGATGAAGAAGAGAGTGAAGGTTAGGGTTTTAGAAGTCGACATTGTTTTTTTTTTATCTTTGTTGTTTCTTGTGTGTTTGATGGATTATAAAATGTGTTTGGTGATGAATTTATAAGGAACTTGAAGGTCAACTTTTGTTTTGTTGGACCTTTGCTGGAGGATTTCTGAATATTGTGTGAGTTTGTTTTTTTTTTCTTAAAACTGAAAAACAGAAGGATAAAGATTAAAGAGCTTTGAATCTTATAGTCTAAATCAAGATATGAAACCTGAAAAAAAACAGTATGGTCAAAAGAAAATAAATTTTAATTCGTTGGTAGACAGCAAAGATTAAGAAAGAACAAAAAAAGCTTATTTATTTAGGTGTTTGACAATCTATATTATATAATAGCAAAATAACTTTTTTGAATTACTGATGTCATCATTTTTTGTAGAAAAAAAAATGATAAATATAACGGTTGACGTTGTTTTGATTTGAAAAATTAATGGTTAGGATTTGACTGCTGACATCATCTTCTAAATGTTAAAAAAATATAGATGTAATTTAACAGTTATTATTCTTTTATACAGATTGAACGGTGAAGATTACATTTGTTTTGTTTACCAAACAGACACATAGTTAACACATTGCAATTTTATACTTAAAACATTGTAACTTTACGAATCATTGTGATTTTTTCAGTTTTGGTTGCTAGAAAAAAAAATCAATTTAATGGTTATTAATCTTTGTATCCAGATTTAACGGTAAAAATTAGATTTATTATGTCTGCCTAACATACGCATATTGAAGAACTGTTGCAACTGGTAAAATGAATATTTGCAACCATTGCAATTGTTTGGTGTATGATTACGTTATTCATTGACTAACCATTGCACCAGTTGATCATCAATCATTGCATCCTAATCAACCATTGTAATCTTTGGAAGTGATATTGGGTTCCGATAAAAGGAGTTGTGAGCATTGCCAAAATCACAACAAAAATAGAAAACAAATTGAAGCAAAGAAAATTAAAAAGAAAGTAAGAGAGAGTTTCACTATTCCAAAATATCATAAACATTTTTTTTGGAAAAACACATATCACCATCAGAACTGTGTTTTATCCTACAAGAGTTTTTGTCTAACCCAAAGCTTGATAAGGGTCGAAATACTCTTTAAGGAAAGTGTCATTGTGCAAGATTTCATCATCATCCAAATTTACATTTCATCATTCAGTTTCAAGTAACTATCAAGTTTATCATCGTAATTTTTCACTTTAAACTAACTTTTCATTTTGAACAAAAATTATTATTAAATATAGAACTTCTTAAAACATTCGTCTTCTAAATGTTAAAAAATGTAGATGTAATCTAACGGTTAATATTTTTTTATACAGATTAAACAGTGAAGATTGCATTTTTTTTGTTTACCAAACAGGCACATAGTTAAAATATTGCAACTTTATACTTAAAACATTGCAACTTTACGAACCATTGTGATTTTTTATTTTGGTTGCTAAAAAAAAGTCATTCTAATGATTAATAATCTTTATTTCCCGATTTAACGGTAAATATTAGATTTATTATATCTGCCTAACGGACACATATTGAAGAACTGTTGCAGCTGGTAAAATGAATATTTGTAACCATTTCAGTTACTAACCATTGAAATTGTTGAGTGTATGGTTACATTATGCAGTGACTAACCATTGCACCAGTTGATGATCAATCATTGCACCCTAATCAACAATTGTAATATTTGGAAGTGACATTTGGTTTCCTATAAAAGGCGGTGTGGGCATTGCCAAAATCACAACAAAAATAGAAAATAAATTGAAGCAAATAAAACTAGAAAGAAAATAAAAGAGAGTTTCACTATTCCAAAAGATCATAAACGTTTTTTAGAAAAGCACATATCATCCTACAAGGGTTTTTGTCTAACCCAAAGCTTGGTAAGGGTCGAAATACTCTTTAAGGAAAGTGTCATTGTGCAAGTTTCAATCATCATCTAAATTTACAATTCATAATTCAGTTTCAAGTAACCAACAAGTTTATCATTGTAATTTTTCACTTTAAACTAACTTTTCATTTTGAACAAAAAATATTATTAAAAGTAGAACTTCAAAAAAAAAAAATTTATTATTGTTTATAGATAACAAAAGATGTCAGTATTTCATAAACCTAAATCAAATAGTTTTATAATAAGTCCAGAAATTGAATACAAAAATAATGAAAATATAAATATTGGGATGCGAGAATTTTATAACGAACGAGGTATTAATTTTAATTGTTATTTTTATATGTTTAAGTTTTAGTTATGTTATTATAAATTTTTATTCCTATTTTTATTATTTTATTTTATTTTAGAAAGTCCATTAAAAATTAAAGATGCAGGTATTTACACTTCTTTTATTATATATATATATATTATAATAACATAGTTTATAATCTTAATATAATAAAATTTAATATTAAATTTACTATTATTTCAGAATGTGTAAATATGCTAATGGATGTTGAAAGATCTAAAGCAATTGGTAGAGAAAGTTACAATGCTATATTCTCTAATGGTTTGTTGAAATAAACTTTAGTCACTAATAAAAAAATAATTTAAAATATTTTCTTATGTAGGTTTTACTTTCTGGAATAATAGGTTTTAAAAAACGAATATATTGCCAACTTCACAAGAAAAAAAAATTAAAAGTATTTACATATTTGTTATATAATTAATTAATAATTAAAATTTGTTATATAATATTATAAAATATTTGTCAGGCAAGAAAAAAAGGTTATAAAAATCAGTGAACATAATAAATTAATAATGTGTGAAGATTGTAATGCTTTAGTATGGCTTGCTGAGAGCACATAAAAAGATCGTATTACAAGACATCCTTTATTTACTATTTGTTGTAAACAAGGATGTGTAAAATTACCTCATATACAAAAGCCTCCTCTTGTGCTCAAAAATCTTTTATGTGATCCCACTTTTAAAAATAACATTAGATTTTTTTAATTCAAATGCTCCCTATGTGTTCTATGAGTGCTGAAATAGTTGATTCAATCTTAAATTATGGTGATCCATTTTGTTTTAAAGTACATGGTGAAAATTATCATTGTATTGGATCTCTTTTACCAATTGATGGGGAAAAGCCTAAATTCTTGCAGATGTATATATTTGATACATCTAATAAATTACAAAATTGATTATCAATTATGATCCGAGAGGTTCAAAATTTATTAGATGAAATTTTTTTATCATCCTTAATTAATATGCTTGATGAAAATAACACTTTAGCTAAAAATTTTAGAAAAGCTAGAGATAGATATGAAAGTGGTCATATTTGTGAAATGAAAATTCATATGATAGGATATGATAAAAGGAAAATACAATATAATCTGCCATCAGCTAATGAGATAGCATGTTTAATAATCGTGTGATTTTTCTAAAATATTGGCGAACGAGATGTTCTTCTTCAACATAAATCTGGCAATTTGCAAAGAATCTTGGCAACTCATCCTCTTTATATGGTTTTGAAATATCCATTATTATTTCCTCATGGAGAAGTTGGGTTTTTCGAGGGAATACCATATGTTCAAAGGTTATCATCCGATCACAATAATGACTATGTTAAAATGACAGAATGTTATATGTATTGTATACATAACCGAAACATCGAAGCATCTATTATTTTGAAAAGTGGTAGATTATATCATCAATATGTTTTAGATGCGTTTACGTCTATTGAGGCAAGCCGTCTGACATTTACTAAACTTAATCAAAATGCAATAAGAGCTGATGTATATAATAATGTAAATGACGTCATATCAAAAGGAGATCATGATCCACATAGTCTTGGTAAAAGAATTATATTGCCATCATTAATTACTGAAAGACCAAGATAAATGGCAGAAAAATATCAAGATGCAATGGCGCTTTGTCGTTGTTTTGGAAATTCTGATTTATTTATTATCATGACTGCTAATCCTAAATGGAATGAAATAAATGAATATTTAAAAATTACTGATGATACATCGGTCAGTAACAGGTCTGATATTGAATCACGAGTTTTTCATTTAAAATTAGATGAGTTAATAATTTTAGTTAAAAAAGAATAATTTTTTTTACCAATAATTGGAGGTACATATATTTTTGTTTGGGTTTGAAAATTATTCAGATAAAGTCTAATTATTTATATACTGATTTTTTTTCTATAAAAATATCAACTTTAAAAAGACCTCTTTTTAAAATATTTTCACAATTTGAATCATGAACAAGTTCAGTTGTCAGCAGGAGATTTCCGACAAGAAATCTACCTTTGACAAAGGCGAATTGTGAGTTGGAGATCATGTTTGGGAAGAGAAGCTGAAGGTGTTTTGCAAAGATTTTGGAGACAACTTTATACACAACGTTGCAGAGGGAGATTAATCTGAAATCCCCTAGCTAACTGGCTCAAACTAGCTACTTTCGTGAATAAACATTCTGACCAAAAAGAAGAAAAAATACATACTACTTTCACGAACGTTATGTTGTTTTTTTATATACATATTCTTCACATAAGGATAAGATTGGTAGAACACTCGCCGGAGGAAGGTATAATCGATGAAGTTGGCGAACATGGATTGGGTTATGATAAAGACTCTAGAACCAGAAACAAACTAAGCAAGAGGAGGATGAAGATGACGAGGTTGTGTGTACTCATGTGACAAGGACAACTTTTCATTTCTTTTCAATTCTAAGAAAATACTATTTATCATGCCTAGACTACATAGTATTGTGAAGGTCAAAACTACACAATTATTTTGGTACGCTTTTTTCTCTTGTTGAATGTTGAGTAGATAAAATATTGACGGATTTAAAATGAAATCCACAACCATGTTTATTTTCTTTGGTTAAAATTTAAAGCCTTCACTAGGAGGCAAAGTTATATTGATTAACATACAAAAGTACATTAATATATATTCGTATAAAGAAACAAAAAACATTGTGACATTTTCGTAAATCGTGTTTAACTTAAGCCGCAATCCAGTTACGGATATCCTCTTCAAGCAAATCACCGACGTAATTATAAGTAGCTTCTGATGGATGAATCGAGTCAAAGAACAAATATTCCGAGCGATTCCCACACGACGGAGAGAAAGCATTACACATGAAGCCCGCCTCCAATAAGCCTGTTCCACAACATCCTCTCTTCGTTTCTTTAAACCCTGTTTTTTTTCAAGATCGTATAATCAGTTTTAAAATTTCATCTCATAGGATAACTTGTGGGACAAGAAAGAGACTGTGTCTACTATATAGTATATATATATACCGTATTTGCTAGGTTTCTGCATCATGTCCATTACAGGATCATAGATATCGGCGTAAAGGATCTTGATTCCAGTAAGAGAGGCTTCGGTCTGAGCTAACTGCTTCTGAAGAATCTGATTGTATGTAATAGAGTCTCTGTTCTCTTGTTCCAAACAAAACCTTAGGATATTGCGGAATTTAGCTGTCATTTGGATCGGTAAACAACCAATCGGCGGTAAACCGGCGACAAGAATGTTCCGGCAACCTAAACTGTATAGCTCCTGCACTCACACCGGAAAAGACATGTCAGTCAACAACCCCGAAATCTGACAATACTATTTTGGTTTTGATTAGAGATAATCTGAGAACATGTTTGAAACATTACCCGGAGGAAGTTGTCAAGCCTCTTAAGTATAAACTCTTGGTAAGCAGAGATGAAAGGGTACTCAAGACGCCTTGTAGGAATGGTGTAAAAATTCAAGATGAAATCGTTAGTCCCTGCACTTACAACCACCAAAGCATTGTTTATAATCTCCATAGCTTTCTTGTCTCCTACGATACTCTTAAGGCGAGCGATGTAACTCCTGAACATTGTAGGTTGATACGAGACAGGAATCGCTTGTGACGAGAGACTGCTTCGCTCATCGTAACCCGCACCGGCTGATGCAAAACAGACTCCGGTCACAATCTCTTGGTCGGAGAGATTAGGTTGTAAGAAAGGAGGGACAAACTGTTTGATGTTGAATTTGGCCGCGAGTATGTCGGGGATTAGTTTTCCGTTTGAGAATCTTCCGGTAGCTTTGTGGTCTGGGAGATCAATGCCGTAAGGAATATGTGTAGCTTTGAGGATTATGTTTAATGGGTAATTATTGTTCCCTGTGTCCACGGTTGAATCGCCGAAGATTAGAATCGCTGGGAAGAGCGGTTGCGTTGTGTTGTTTGCGGCTGCGTTGCAGGACGCGAGTAGTGTTGCGATGAAGAAGAGAGTGAAGGTTAGGGTTTTAGAAGTCGACATTGTTTTTTTTTTATCTTTGTTGTTTCTTGTGTGTTTGATGGATTATAAAATGTGTTTGGTGATGAATTTATAAGGAATTTGAAGGTCAACTTTTTTTTTTGTTGGACCTTTGCTGGATTTCTGAATATTGTGTGAGTTTGTTTTTTTTTTCTTAAAATTGAAAAACAGATGGATAAAGAGCTTTGAATCTTTTAGTTTAAATCAAGACATCCACCTGAAAAAAATCAGTATGGTCAAAAGAAAATAAAATTTTAATTCGTTGGTAGACAGCACAGATTAAGAAAGAAAAAAAAAGCTTTTTTTATTTAGGAGTTTAACAATTTATAAGATGGAAAAACAAAATCACATAAACAAACAATCATAACTTGACTCTAAACAACGCTAATTCTGAATTCGTGTTTGGAAGAGGACCTAAGCTAATATTATTAAATAATTTTTTTTTTGCCAACGGCTTAGTGCATAGTTTTCTTTAAGGGTTTTACTATATCGCTGCTTTGGATATAAAATTCGATTCAGCTACAATTATGTATAAGTTGTGTCTTAAACTACTTTTTTCGTCTTAAAAATGTACATTTGCTTTTGATTTACATGCTGCCGTACTGCTATTGTTTGACACTTTTTTTTAAAGTAAAGGTTCATTACATTAGCTTTCAACAGGAAAAAATTACATGGCAAAAAAAATAAGAATATAAACCCAATAGAAGTTTGATATTCATAACTAACGACTGAGGTTAGAAAGAAGACTAGCTATGGGCAAACCATTCTCGACAAAAGGTTGCCGTATCCTTTTCGATACCAATAAGCAAGAAAACAGTCCCCAATGACACGGTGAGAGTGGGAAAAAATGTGAGTGGGTGGAACGTTTAATTTGGTTTTGAAACCGTGCTGCAAGGCGTTTGAAAGTATGTAGCCAGTTTCTTGTGCTGCAAGGCGTTTGAAAAATGAGTAAATAGCCAGTTAGAGGTTTTTGTTGCATCCAAGAAATCAGGACCAACCAATTACTTAGAGCCATATTCGCAAATCCTATACGAAAAAGGAGCCGAGACCAAACCTGAGCCGAGTAGGAGCATTGGGTGAAAAAAATGGTCTCTACTTCCAAGATAAAGAGAGCAAAAAAAAGCATGAAGAATCAATGTGCAATCCCAAGGTTGCCAATCTTTGTCTGAGAGGAAGACGGTTGAGATGAACTATCTAGTAGTGTGCTTTTGGATATTATGCTTAAACCATATTGTTTTCTTTGTGGAGATTTTAGAGGATCAATTGTTTTTAGAACCCAAAGAGTACGAAGCTTTGTTCGTTTTTGTATCCAGATGATGTATCTGGATGCAAATACTCAAATATTGTTCGTTTGAACATCTTTAAATCAGTGTCTAGATATCACATCTGGATGCAAAATAAAAAAATATTTCAAAAATCTGGATATTTGAGATGCTAGGAAAAGTAGAGTCTGGATGCAGCATTTGCATCTCAAAAACCAAAAGACCAACAAATCCTTTAATATAATACAAAAACCAAAAGACCAACAAATCTTTTAATATAATAAGGGTGTGTACGAACCGTGATTTTAGACCTTGGACTTGGCTTGTTTACAAATATTGCATATCCCACAAATTCTCTCCACATCCCGTCTCATGTGTGGCCAATAGAAATAATCTTTCATTACTTCTAAGGTTTTTGCTACGCCAAAGTGACCTATTAAACCGCCACTGTGTGCTTCCCTGATAAACAAATCTCTCATAGAACAATTAGGTACACAAAGACGGTTCTCATAGAAGAGAAATCCATCTTGTTTAAAGAATTTACCCGAAGGAGATTTGAAACAAGAAGCAAAAATTTCTGAAAAATCATCATCATCTTTATATAGCTCTTTAAGCTGATCAAATCCAAGCAACTTAGCTTCTAAAATAGTGAGAAAAGTGTACCTTCTTGATAATGCATCAGCAACCACATTGTCTTTACCTTGTTTGTACTTTATGACATATGGGAAGGTTTCTATGAATTCAACCCACCTTGCGTGCCTTTTGTTGAGCTTTTGCTGACCTTTGAGGTGTTTGAGGGACTCATGGTCCGTGTGAATGACAAATTCTTTAGGCCAGAGGTATTGTTGCCACGTTTGTAATGCTCTCACCAAGGCGTACAACTCCTTATCATATGTGGGATAGTTGAGCATGGCTCCTCTAAGCTTCTCACTAAAAAATGCTATGTGTTGCTTGTCTTGCATTAGAACAGCGCCAATACCTATTCCTGATGCATCACACTCAATCTCAAAAGTCTTTAAAAAATTAGGCAATATAAGAACATGGGCGTTAGTAAGCTTCTCTTTTAGGCTTTGGAAAGCCTCTTCTTGAGCCGTTTCCCACTTGAATCCAACTTCCTTTTTGATGACTTCGGTGAGTGGGGCAGCTATAGTACTAAAGTCCCTCACGAATCTCCTATAAAAGCCGGCTAGGCCATGGAAACTCCTTACTTCTCCTACGGTCTTAGGACTTGGCCAGTCACGGATGGCCTTCACTTTTTCCTCATCCACTTTGACTCCTTCTGAGCTTACTACAAAACCAAGAAAAACAAGACTAGAAGTGCAGAAAGTACACTTCTTAAGGTTAGCATATAGTTTTTCTTGTCTGAGCAAATCAAGCACTAGTCTAATGTGTTCCACATGCTCTTCTAGACCTTTGCTATAAACAAGGATGTCATCAAAATAAACCACCACAAAGATGCCTATATACGCCCTAAGAACATGATTCATTAAACGCATAAAAGTGCTAGGGGCATTAGTCAATCCGAATGGCATAACCAGCCATTCATATAAACCATGTTTGGTTTTGAATGCGGTTTTCCATTCATCCCCCTCTTTCATTCCGATCTGGTGGTAACCACTCTCTAAATCAATTTTGGAGAAAATGTTAGAACCATGCAATTCATCTAACATGTCATCTAGCCTAGGAATGGGATGGCGATACTTCACCGTGATATTGTTGATTGCACGGCAGTCAACACACATCCTCCAGCTACCGTCTTTCTTTGGAACAAGAAGGACTGGTACTGCACAAGGGCTCATGCTTTCACGGATATGTCCCTTGACCATCAGTTCATCCACCTGCTTCTGTAGTTCTTTGGTCTCCACGGGGTTGGTACGGTAGGCGGGACGGTTTGGCAATGATGCCCCGGGAATGAAGTCTATTTGGTGTTCTATACCCCGGATGGGAGGTAGTCCCGTTGGTGTCTCTTCCGGAAAGACATTTTCATAATCCTGCAAAAGAGCTTGCATTTCATTCGGATACACCGGTGTAAGATCAGCCATGGTGGTTAATGTTTCTTTATAAACAAATAATAGCATAGGTGTTTCGGAGTATAAAGCTTTCTTAACCTGTCCAGCCTTAGCAAAGAAGTTTAAATGTTTGGCTGACTCAAGGTGTGTTTCTGATCGTTGTAGACTTCTTGAGGAGTCATGGGTATCAAAATATTCTTCTTACCCTTAAACTCAAAGGAGTGCCGGTTGGAGAATCCATCATGTATCACCCGGCGGTCAGATTGCCACGGCCTCCCTAGCAGGATATGACTTGCTTCCATAGGTAGCACATCACAAAGTATCTCATCTTTATACTCACCTATGGCCAGTGGAACTAAGACTTGTTCGGTAACCTTCATTTCTCCTTTGTCATTCAACCAGTGTAGCTTATACGGGCTGGGGTGAGGAGTAGCTTGCAAACTCAGCTTCTTAACCATGATACTGCTTGCCACATTAGCGCAACTCCCACCGTCTATGATCAAACTACAAACCTTTCCCTGAACCAAACAACGAGTGTGAAACAGATTCTCACGCTGATCTTGTTCTTCTGGTTTGCTTTGCACGGTCAATGTCCTTCTTGCTACAAGCAACTCTCCTTGTATTGGAAATAACTCATGTTCCTCCTCTGTTTCTTCTTGTTGCTCATCCTCTGATTCTATGTCACCGTTTTCTAGTAACACCATAACACGTTTGTTGATGCACTTATTGGCGTAATGTCCACGGCCTTGGCATTTGAAACATTTTACATCACGAGCCTTGGTATTAGCCTCCTTAGGTTTCCCATATGGTTGGACAGTTTCAGATTTGGAACTGATCGACTTATCTTCTCTCGGCTGATTCTGCAGATATGCCGACCGGTACGAGTTTCTGTCGTCCCGCAGATAAACTGTCCGACTGTTTGGTCCGGTATTAGAACCCGAATGGTACGACCTTTTTCTCTTGATTTGCTGCTCAAACAACACTTCTTTGTGAAGCATCTCTTCTAAGTCGATATAATGTTGTGTCTCTAGGCGGTCCTGAATCTCTCGGTTAAGGCCTCCGAGGAACCTAGCCATCGTAGCTTCACTGTCCTCCAAGATATCTGCACGAAGCATTAGTGTTTCCATTTCCTGAAAATATTCCTCCACAGAACGGTTGCCTTGCGTCAATCTCCGAAGCCTCTGATGTAGCTCGCGATGGTAATGGCTCAGAACAAACCGTTTCCTCATCAAGTTTCTCATCTCGTTCCAAGTTGTAACCGGATACTCTTGGTTTCTCCTTCTGGTTGTGACGAGTTGATCCCACCAGCTTAGGGCATAGTCGTAGAACTCTGTGGCCACCACCTTAGCACGGTTCTCCTCAGTGTAATGTTGAACATTGAATACCAGCTCTATCTTCTTTTCCCACTCAAGGTAGGCATCCAGATCACATTTGCCGTGAAAAGAGAGAATCTTCAACTTGAGACCGGCCAAGTTGTCTTGCACACGATCTCTGCCTTGTCTAGAACTTCTACGGCCACTTTTAGAGGAGTTACTGCTTTTGTAGTATTGATCAGTCTGATGTCCACTAGCCTGCCCTTCTTGTTCATCTCTCTCACGGTTTCTTTGCATTGGCGTCTCTGAGCCGTTTCTCTCTGTTCATAGCTTTGTCTGATCTTTTCTACCTCAACTTGTAACATTTTTTTCATCTCAGCCATGAGGGCTTCGACCAACATCCACTGAGCACGTACGGCTGAAGGTTCCGGGTCATCTTCCCCGGTCATTGCTCCTAAAAACAAAATTTCTCGCAGTAAGTAGTTCTTGGGTAGATTAGAATTTTATAAAAATTCTAAACTTTTTTTAAAAATTTTGTGGAAAAAACAAGAGATCAAAACCGTGATAAACAATAATTTTAAAAATATTTTCGACAGTAGATGAAGAGTCAAAAAATATTGAAATGATGAATAAGGACGGATCGGATCAGAAAACTTAGCTTTGGAAGGTTTGCTCTGATACCACTTGATATGATCCCGGTTAATGATCGATCCTTTCAAGCTAAGTGACGAATTACTTGTTGTGAGATGGTGGAATGATCCGAACGGTGGTAAGGGGGTTGAAGGGGAAAAGTGGGGGAAGAGTGAAGATGGAATGTAGCAAGAGAGATGGAAGGCTCTTGATACAAAACTACTAGAACACAAGGATATGACGCACCTAGGTTCTAAGCAGGATTTCTCAAGGATATGACGCACCAAGAGAGATGATCTATTTTGCAAAGGAAATTTTATTCAAAGATAGATGAAACCACAAAAACAACTAACACACGGTTTTAAGGAGAGAAGAGAAAGAGGAAGGAGAACGGACAACAAGAGATCAATAAGTTGGTCTTGGGACAAACCCCCCTGACTAACCATGCATGACTCTTGTTCAAAATATCACAAACTACAAAGAAAGACACAACTAAAACAAAGAAATGAACCTAGACACATCCAAGCCACGGATGGTAGAAAGAAGTGGGCTTGGAACAAGGCCAAGCTTAATGGGCAATGACATTGTGGGAACACTTGCCTCGTTAAAAACCTTAGTGAGAAAATCCAATGGGATAAAACTCACTAGAGGAAAAAGAGCACAAAGTATCCCACAAACCCACTAGCTTAGTCCCCCGGCTACAATGCAGACCAGTGTGGAACGTGTAGCCTCCTTAGTACTTGATTCATACTTAAACTGATTAAGTAGAACCTCTAAGGTATTTTGAAATGCCTTAGTCTTAGCTCGGGTCCTTTGGACCTCCTTGCACCTTAAGAACATCTTCAACCTCATTCTGGTCTTGATCTTATTTTCCAACGGCTACATGCTCATTTTCTAGGTTAGATGTTCCCATGCTCATATCAAAAAGGATGTCAGCAACTACAAATATTTGGAGCAGCAACTCCCAGCTTACTGAATTAAAAGCCTTTCGAAACATCAACTTTAAAAAGACCCCTTTTTTAAAATATTTTCACAATTTGAACTCTGAACAATTTCAGTTGCAAGCAGGAGATTTTCGACAAGAAATCTACCTTTGACAAAGGCAAATTGTGAGTTGGAGATCATGTTTGGGAAGAGAAGCTGAAGGTGTTTTGGAAAGACTTTGGAGAAAACTTTATACACGACGTTGCAAAGGGAGATTGGTCTGAAATCTTCTAGCTGACTGACTCAAACTAGTTAAGTATACTCCACAGTATGATCAAGACCCCGTTGGGATTTTGCTGAGCGGATAGTATTTATTTAGCTTCGCAAACATAAACATAAGATGTTGCTTTAGTGAATAGCATGCTACTTTCGTGAATAAACATTCTGACCAAAAAGAAGAAAAAATACATACTACTTTCACGAACGTTATGTTGTTTTTTATATACATATTCTTCACATAAGGATAAGATTGGTAGAACACTCGCCGGAGGAAGGTATAATCGATGAAGTTGGCGAACATGGATTGGGTTATGATAAAGACTCTAGAACCAGAAACAAACTAAGCAAGAGGAGGATGAAGATGACGAGGTTGTGTGTACTCATGTGACAAGGACAACTTTTCATTTCTTTTCAATTCTAAGAAAATACTATTTATCATGCCTAGACTACATAGTATTGTGAAGGTCAAAACTACACAATTATTTTGGTACGCTTTTTTCTCTTGTTGAATGTTGAGTAGATAAAATATTGACGGATTTAAAATGAAATCCACAACCATGTTTATTTTCTTTGGTTAAAATTTAAAGCCTTCACTAGGAGGCAAAGTTATATTGATTAACATACAAAAGTACATTAATATATATTCGTATAAAGAAACAAAAAACATTGTGACATTTTCGTAAATCGTGTTTAACTTAAGCCGCAATCCAGTTACGGATATCCTCTTCAAGCAAATCACCGACGTAATTATAAGTAGCTTCTGATGGATGAATCGAGTCAAAGAACAAATATTCCGAGCGATTCCCACACGACGGAGAGAAAGCATTACACATGAAGCCCGCCTCCAATAAGCCTGTTCCACAACATCCTCTCTTCGTTTCTTTAAACCCTGTTTTTTTTCAAGATCGTATAATCAGTTTTAAAATTTCATCTCATAGGATAACTTGTGGGACAAGAAAGAGACTGTGTCTACTATATAGTATATATATATACCGTATTTGCTAGGTTTCTGCATCATGTCCATTACAGGATCATAGATATCGGCGTAAAGGATCTTGATTCCAGTAAGAGAGGCTTCGGTCTGAGCTAACTGCTTCTGAAGAATCTGATTGTATGTAATAGAGTCTCTGTTCTCTTGTTCCAAAAAAAACCTTAGGATATTGCGGAATTTAGCTGTCATTTGGATCGGTAAACAACCAATCGGCGGTAAACCGGCGACAAGAATGTTCCGGCAACCTAAACTGTATAGCTCCTGCACTCACACCGGAAAAGACATGTCAGTCAACAACCCCGAAATCTGACAATACTATTTTGGTTTTGATTAGAGATAATCTGAGAACATGTTTGAAACATTACCCGGAGGAAGTTGTCAAGCCTCTTAAGTATAAACTCTTGGTAAGCAGAGATGAAAGGGTACTCAAGACGCCTTGTAGGAATGGTGTAAAAATTCAAGATGAAATCGTTAGTCCCTGCACTTACAACCACCAAAGCATTGTTTATAATCTCCATAGCTTTCTTGTCTCCTACGATACTCTTAAGGCGAGCGATGTAACTCCTGAACATTGTAGGTTGATACGAGACAGGAATCGCTTGTGACGAGAGACTGCTTCGCTCATCGTAACCCGCACCGGCTGATGCAAAACAGACTCCGGTCACAATCTCTTGGTCGGAGAGATTAGGTTGTAAGAAAGGAGGGACAAACTGTTTGATGTTGAATTTGGCCGCGAGTATGTCGGGGATTAGTTTTCCGTTTGAGAATCTTCCGGTAGCTTTGTGGTCTGGGAGATCAATGCCGTAAGGAATATGTGTAGCTTTGAGGATTATGTTTAATGGGTAATTATTGTTCCCTGTGTCCACGGTTGAATCGCCGAAGATTAGAATCGCTGGGAAGAGCGGTTGCGTTGTGTTGTTTGCGGCTGCGTTGCAGGACGCGAGTAGTGTTGCGATGAAGAAGAGAGTGAAGGTTAGGGTTTTAGAAGTCGACATTGTTTTTTTTTTATCTTTGTTGTTTCTTGTGTGTTTGATGGATTATAAAATGTGTTTGGTGATGAATTTATAAGGAATTTGAAGGTCAACTTTTTTTTTTGTTGGACCTTTGCTGGATTTCTGAATATTGTGTGAGTTTGTTTTTTTTTTCTTAAAATTGAAAAACAGATGGATAAAGAGCTTTGAATCTTTTAGTTTAAATCAAGACATCCACCTGAAAAAAATCAGTATGGTCAAAAGAAAATAAAATTTTAATTCGTTGGTAGACAGCACAGATTAAGAAAGAAAAAAAAAGCTTTTTTTATTTAGGAGTTTAACAATTTATAAGATGGAAAAACAAAATCACATAAACAAACAATCATAACTTGACTCTAAACAACGCTAATTCTGAATTCGTGTTTGGAAGAGGACCTAAGCTAATATTATTAAATAAATTTTTTTTGCCAACGGCTTAGTGCATAGTTTTCTTTAAGGGTTTTACTATATCGCTGCTTTGGATATAAAATTCGATTCAGCTACAATTATGTATAAGTTGTGTCTTAAACTACTTTTTTCGTCTTAAAAATGTACATTTGCTTTTGATTTACATGCTGCCGTACTGCTATTGTTTGACACTTTTTTTTAAAGTAAAGGTTCATTACATTAGCTTTCAACAGGAAAAAATTACATGGCAAAAAAAATAAGAATATAAACCCAATAGAAGTTTGATATTCATAACTAACGACTGAGGTTAGAAAGAAGACTAGCTATGGGCAAACCATTCTCGACAAAAGGTTGCCGTATCCTTTTCGATACCAATAAGCAAGAAAACAGTCCCCAATGACACGGTGAGAGTGGGAAAAAATGTGAGTGGGTGGAACGTTTAATTTGGTTTTGAAACCGTGCTGCAAGGCGTTTGAAAGTATGTAGCCAGTTTCTTGTGCTGCAAGGCGTTTGAAAAATGAGTAAATAGCCAGTTAGAGGTTTTTGTTGCATCCAAGAAATCAGGACCAACCAATTACTTAGAGCCATATTCGCAAATCCTATACGAAAAAGGAGCCGAGACCAAACCTGAGCCGAGTAGGAGCATTGGGTGAAAAAAATGGTCTCTACTTCCAAGATAAAGAGAGCAAAAAAAGCATGAAGAATCAATGTGCAATCCCAAGGTTGCCAATCTTTGTCTGAGAGGAAGACGGTTGAGATGAACTATCTAGTAGTGTGCTTTTGGATATTATGCTTAAACCATATTGTTTTCTTTGTGGAGATTTTAGAGGATCAATTGTTTTTAGAACCCAAAGAGTACGAAGCTTTGTTCGTTTTTGTATCCAGATGATGTATCTGGATGCAAATACTCAAATATTGTTCGTTTGAACATCTTTAAATCAGTGTCTAGATATCACATCTGGATGCAAAATAAAAAAATATTTCAAAAATCTGGATATTTGAGATGCTAGGAAAAGTAGAGTCTGGATGCAGCATTTGCATCTCAAAAACCAAAAGACCAACAAATCCTTTAATATAATACAAAAACCAAAAGACCAACAAATCTTTTAATATAATAAGGGTGTGTACGAACCGTGATTTTAGACCTTGGACTTGGCTTGTTTACAAATATTGCATATCCCACAAATTCTCTCCACATCCCGTCTCATGTGTGGCCAATAGAAATAATCTTTCATTACTTCTAAGGTTTTTGCTACGCCAAAGTGACCTATTAAACCGCCACTGTGTGCTTCCCTGATAAACAAATCTCTCATAGAACAATTAGGTACACAAAGACGGTTCTCATAGAAGAGAAATCCATCTTGTTTAAAGAATTTACCCGAAGGAGATTTGAAACAAGAAGCAAAAATTTCTGAAAAATCATCATCATCTTTATATAGCTCTTTAAGCTGATCAAATCCAAGCAACTTAGCTTCTAAAATAGTGAGAAAAGTGTACCTTCTTGATAATGCATCAGCAACCACATTGTCTTTACCTTGTTTGTACTTTATGACATATGGGAAGGTTTCTATGAATTCAACCCACCTTGCGTGCCTTTTGTTGAGCTTTTGCTGACCTTTGAGGTGTTTGAGGGACTCATGGTCCGTGTGAATGACAAATTCTTTAGGCCAGAGGTATTGTTGCCACGTTTGTAATGCTCTCACCAAGGCGTACAACTCCTTATCATATGTGGGATAGTTGAGCATGGCTCCTCTAAGCTTCTCACTAAAAAATGCTATGTGTTGCTTGTCTTGCATTAGAACAGCGCCAATACCTATTCCTGATGCATCACACTCAATCTCAAAAGTCTTTAAAAAAATTAGGCAATATAAGAACATGGGCGTTAGTAAGCTTCTCTTTTAGGCTTTGGAAAGCCTCTTCTTGAGCCGTTTCCCACTTGAATCCAACTTCTTTTTTGATGACTTCGGTGAGTGGGGCAGCTATAGTACTAAAGTCCCTCACGAATCTCCTATAAAAGCCGGCTAGGCCATGGAAACTCCTTACTTCTCCTACGGTCTTAGGACTTGGCCAGTCACGGATGGCCTTCACTTTTTCCTCATCCACTTTGACTCCTTCTGAGCTTACTACAAAACCAAGAAAAACAAGACTAGAAGTGCAGAAAGTACACTTCTTAAGGTTAGCATATAGTTTTTCTTGTCTGAGCAAATCAAGCACTAGTCTAATGTGTTCCACATGCTCTTCTAGACCTTTGCTATAAACAAGGATGTCATCAAAATAAACCACCACAAAGATGCCTATATACGCCCTAAGAACATGATTCATTAAACGCATAAAAGTGCTAGGGGCATTAGTCAATCCGAATGGCATAACCAGCCATTCATATAAACCATGTTTGGTTTTGAATGCGGTTTTCCATTCATCCCCCTCTTTCATTCCGATCTGGTGGTAACCACTCTCTAAATCAATTTTGGAGAAAATGTTAGAACCATGCAATTCATCTAACATGTCATCTAGCCTAGGAATGGGATGGCGATACTTCACCGTGATATTGTTGATTGCACGGCAGTCAACACACATCCTCCAGCTACCGTCTTTCTTTGGAACAAGAAGGACTGGTACTGCACAAGGGCTCATGCTTTCACGGATATGTCCCTTGACCATCAGTTCATCCACCTGCTTCTGTAGTTCTTTGGTCTCCACGGGGTTGGTACGGTAGGCGGGACGGTTTGGCAATGATGCCCCGGGAATGAAGTCTATTTGGTGTTCTATACCCCGGATGGGAGGTAGTCCCGTTGGTGTCTCTTCCGGAAAGACATTTTCATAATCCTGCAAAAGAGCTTGCATTTCATTCGGATACACCGGTGTAAGATCAGCCATGGTGGTTAATGTTTCTTTATAAACAAATAATAGCATAGGTGTTTCGGAGTATAAAGCTTTCTTAACCTGTCCAGCCTTAGCAAAGAAGTTTAAATGTTTGGCTGACTCAAGGTGTGTTTCTGATCGTTGTAGACTTCTTGAGGAGTCATGGGTATCAAAATATTCTTCTTACCCTTAAACTCAAAGGAGTGCCGGTTGGAGAATCCATCATGTATCACCCGGCGGTCAGATTGCCACGGCCTCCCTAGCAGGATATGACTTGCTTCCATAGGTAGCACATCACAAAGTATCTCATCTTTATACTCACCTATGGCCAGTGGAACTAAGACTTGTTCGGTAACCTTCATTTCTCCTTTGTCATTCAACCAGTGTAGCTTATACGGGCTGGGGTGAGGAGTAGCTTGCAAACTCAGCTTCTTAACCATGATACTGCTTGCCACATTAGCGCAACTCCCACCGTCTATGATCAAACTACAAACCTTTCCCTGAACCAAACAACGAGTGTGAAACAGATTCTCACGCTGATCTTGTTCTTCTGGTTTGCTTTGCACGGTCAATGTCCTTCTTGCTACAAGCAACTCTCCTTGTATTGGAAATAACTCATGTTCCTCCTCTGTTTCTTCTTGTTGCTCATCCTCTGATTCTATGTCACCGTTTTCTAGTAACACCATAACACGTTTGTTGATGCACTTATTGGCGTAATGTCCACGGCCTTGGCATTTGAAACATTTTACATCACGAGCCTTGGTATTAGCCTCCTTAGGTTTCCCATATGGTTGGACAGTTTCAGATTTGGAACTGATCGACTTATCTTCTCTCGGCTGATTCTGCAGATATGCCGACCGGTACGAGTTTCTGTCGTCCCGCAGATAAACTGTCCGACTGTTTGGTCCGGTATTAGAACCCGAATGGTACGACCTTTTTCTCTTGATTTGCTGCTCAAACAACACTTCTTTGTGAAGCATCTCTTCTAAGTCGATATAATGTTGTGTCTCTAGGCGGTCCTGAATCTCTCGGTTAAGGCCTCCGAGGAACCTAGCCATCGTAGCTTCACTGTCCTCCAAGATATCTGCACGAAGCATTAGTGTTTCCATTTCCTGAAAATATTCCTCCACAGAACGGTTGCCTTGCGTCAATCTCCGAAGCCTCTGATGTAGCTCGCGATGGTAATGGCTCAGAACAAACCGTTTCCTCATCAAGTTTCTCATCTCGTTCCAAGTTGTAACCGGATACTCTTGGTTTCTCCTTCTGGTTGTGACGAGTTGATCCCACCAGCTTAGGGCATAGTCGTAGAACTCTGTGGCCACCACCTTAGCACGGTTCTCCTCAGTGTAATGTTGAACATTGAATACCAGCTCTATCTTCTTTTCCCACTCAAGGTAGGCATCCAGATCACATTTGCCGTGAAAAGAGAGAATCTTCAACTTGAGACCGGCCAAGTTGTCTTGCACACGATCTCTGCCTTGTCTAGAACTTCTACGGCCACTTTTAGAGGAGTTACTGCTTTTGTAGTATTGATCAGTCTGATGTCCACTAGCCTGCCCTTCTTGTTCATCTCTCTCACGGTTTCTTTGCATTGGCGTCTCTGAGCCGTTTCTCTCTGTTCATAGCTTTGTCTGATCTTTTCTACCTCAACTTGTAACATTTTTTTCATCTCAGCCATGAGGGCTTCGACCAACATCCACTGAGCACGTACGGCT